AACACCGGGAGGGCCCAAGTTAAGAATAGTGGGAGTTGGAGTCCAAAACACCTGCAGGGCCCAAGTTAGGAATGGTGGGAGTTGGAGTTCAAAATGCCTGGAGGGCCCAAGTTACGAATGGTGGGTTGGAGTCCAAAACATGCACGACCCAAGTTAGGAATTGTGGGAGTTGGAGTCAAAAAACACCCGGAGGGCCCAAGTTAGGAATGGTGGGAGTTGGAGTCCAAAATGCCGGGAGGGCCCAAGTTAGGAATGGTGGGAGTTGGAGTCCAAAACACCTGGAGTGAAGGCCAAAATTTGCCCATGCCTGGGCTATACTGTCTGGGACGCTGGGAGCTGTAGTCCCTGAACCTGGGCTGTATCCAATCCCTGATCCGGACACAATCTCTTTGGAGAGAGGTCACCTTGCAGGGAAGCTGTTCTCGCCGGTCAGATGACAAACGTTGCCTGGCTTTGGTCCAGAAAGCCGCCTGCAAAGGAGACAGGCTTGCAACACATTTTGCAGCATTTTTTAAGGTGCATTTTATTTAAAAAATCCCTGTAAATCTTGACCCAAAAATCATTGCCTTTCGGGAAGAAAAGTAACAGTTTCCCCTGAAATGGGAAGCAAGACTTCCCAGGACAAAGCCTTCTTCCCAATGGAGCGGGTACTGTGACTTTCGTGGTGAAAGCTAGGCCTCTCTCTCCTCGTCTAGGCCAAGGACTCCAGAAAAGTCCGCGAAGAGCAAGGGGAGGGAACTCGAGTTTCCTTCCGGTAGACGCAGGAAGAAGAAAGGAAGGACCGGAAACCTCTTCCTCGTGGTCGAGGCCTCAAAGCATGACTTCATAGGTTTTGCTGTGATTTGAGCACCACTCCTTGGGATTGCTTTCTCTGGAGGGATGGATACCTATCTATCTGGATTATTATATAACTAGTTACTTATCCATTTGGATTATTATGTAATTAGTTACTTCATGGATACTTATATCTTTGTATTATTATACAACTAGTTACTTATCTATTTGTATTATTATATAATTAGTTACTTTATGATACTTATCCGTTTTTATTATATAATTAGTTACTTCATGGAGACTTATCTATTTGTATGATTATAGAAGTAGTTACTTATCTATTTGAATGATTATATAATTAGTTACTAGATGGGATACTTATATATTTATATTATTATACAACTAGTTACGTCATGGATACTTATCTATTTGGATTATTATAGAACTAGTTACTTATATATTTGTATTACTATATAATTAGTTACTTCAGGGATACTTATCTATTTGGATTATTATAGAACTAGTTACTTATCTATTTGGATTATTCTATAATTAGTTACTAGATTGATACTTATATATTTGTATGATTATAGAACTAGTTACTTATCTATTTGGATTAGTGTATAACTAGTTCATGGATACTAACCTATTTTTGTTACATAGTTACTTCATGGATACTTATTTATTTGTGTTATTATAGAACTAGTTACTTATATATTGGTATTATTATATACTTAGTTACCACATGGATGCTCATCTATTGATATTATACAACTAGTTACTTCATGGATACTTATCTGTTTGTATGATTATAGAAGTAGTTACTTATCTATTTGAATGATTATATAATTAGTTACTAGATGGGATACTTATATATTTATATTATTATACAACTAGTTACGTCATGGATACTTATCTATTTGGATTATTATAGAACTAGTTACTTATATATTTGTATTACTATATAATTAGTTACTTCAGGGATACTTATCTGTTTGGATTATTATAGAACTGGTTACTTATATATTTGTATTATTATATAATTAGTTACTTCAGGGATACTTATCTATTTGGATTATTACAGAAGTAGTTACTTATATATTTGTATTACTATATAATTAGTTACTTCATGGATACTTATCTGTTTGGATTATTATAGAACTAGTAACTTATATATTTGGATTATATAATTAGTTACTTCAGGGATACTTATCTATTTGGATTATTCTATAATTAGTTACTAGATTGATACTTATATATTTGTATGATTATAGNTACTTATATATTTGTATTACTATATAATTAGTTACTTCAGGGATACTTATCTGTTTGGATTATTATAGAACTAGTAACTTATATATTTGGATTATATAATTAGTTACTTCGGGGATACTTATCTATTTGGATTATTCTATAATTAGTTACTAGATTGATACTTATATATTTGTATGATTATAGAACTAGTTACTTATCTATTTGGATTAGTGTATAATTAGTTCATGGGTACTTATCTATTTTTATTACATAATTAGTTACTTCATGGATACTTATTTATTTGTTTTATTATAGAACTAGTTACTTATATATTTGTATTATTATATACTTAGTTACCACATGGATGCTCATCTGTTGGTATTATACAACTAGTTACTTCATGGATACTTATCTGTTTGTATTATTATGTAACTAGTTACTAGATGGATACTTGTATATTTCTATTATTTAAGTAGTTACTTCCTGGATACTTATCTATTTGTATTATTATATAAATAGTTACTGGATGGATACTTATATATATATTTGTATTATTATCTAAATAGTTACATGTAGTTATTATCTCCAAACAGTTTACAGATTGATCACTATGTAGCACGGTTTCTGTTCCTGGGTTCTCAATGTCATTTCCTAATTGGTTCTATCCTAAATCATGGAGAAAGTTGATTAAACTGCAAAGGCTTTGTTTTTAAGGAGCATCCTGCCATAGCATATTTTGCACTAGTTGTTCAATGAATATCTCATTGAGTCTCAACCAATTCAACATAAGTTTGCAAAAACAAAGTTTCTGGAGGAGAACCACTACTTTCAAAGTCAGGACTGCACAATTAAACAGCAAATCAGACTTTCAAACCAGGAACATAACATTTTTCAAATTTTGTCCCATAGTGTAATTCCCTGTCCCCAGGCTTAGAATTTAAATAAGAGAAGACACACAAGGAAAAGGGAAGGACAGTAGTGGCGGGGATTGCACCCAGCCGGTCCGCCTCTCCCTCTCGGAGGTCAGGGCAGTGGCAGCAGGGATGAATGGGCTTTCATTTGCTTCTAGGCTTCGTCATAGTGGAACTGTGCCTCTTCTTTTGGTCCAGGATTAGGGCAGTGGCAGTTGGGATGAAGGGAGGGCCTCTCATTAGCTTCTAGGCCTCTTCTCTTTTTCCAAAATCGGGGCAGTATCAGTTGGAATGGATGAAGGTTGTTCCATCTGTTTCTGGGTCTAAGCACAATAGAGTTGTGTCTGCCTCTTCTACTTTCCCTCCAATGTCAGGGCAGTGGCAGTTGGGGTGGAGAGAAGGCTTTCATTTTTCTAGACTTAGACCCTTCTTCTTTCCCTCCAAGGTTAGGGCAGTGGCAGTTGGGGTGGAGAGAAGGCCTCTCCTGTCTTTCTGGACTTGGACTCTTCTTCATTCCTTTCAGTGTCAGGGCAGTGGCAGTTGGGGTGGAGAGAAGGCTTTCATTTTTCTGGACTTAGGCTCTTCTTCTTTCCATTCAAGATCAGGGCAGTGGCAGTTGGGGTGGAGAGAAGACCTCTCGTATCTTTCTGAACTTGGACTCTTCTTCACTCCCTCCAATGTCAGGGCAGTGGCAGTTGGGATGGATAAAAGGCTTTTATTTCTTTCAGGACTTTAGATTTTTCTCTTCCTCCAATGTCAGGGCAGTGGCAGTTGGGGTGGAAAGAAGGCTTTCATTTTCCTGGACTTAGACTCTTCTTTCCATTCAAGATCAGGGCAGTTGCAGTTGGAGTGGAGAGAAGCCCTCTCCTGTCTTTCTGGACTTGGACTCTTCTTCATTCCCTCCAAGGCCAGGGTAGTGGCAGTTGGGGTGGAGAGAAGGCTTTGATTTTCCTGGACGTAGACTCCTCTTCTTTCCCTCCAAAGTCAGGGCAGTGGCAGTTGAGGTGAAGAGAAGGCTTTCATGTCTTTCTGAACGTGGACTCTTCTCTCCTTCCAAGATCAGGGCAGTGGCAGTTGGGATGGAGAAAAGGCTTTCATGTCTTTCTGGGCTCGGTCTCTTCTCTCCCTCCAAGGTCAGGGCATTGGCAGTTTGGGTGGAAGGAGAGGCTTTCCTTTAGTACATATATTCCCAGCCACCATCACCAGAATTCCATTGTTAGCATGTAGTTTTGCTGCCTCGTGTAAACCCATGTTGAACTCTGCATCCCAACGTAACGGCGCCTCTTCTCATTCCGGCAGGTCCAGCACGCCAGCCTGCAGATCACGGCTGAGAAGCAGTACAAGGGCATCATCGACTGCGTGGTGCGGATCCCCAAGGAGCAGGGCTTCCTCTCCTTCTGGCGTGGCAACTTGGCCAACGTCATCCGGTACTTCCCCACCCAGGCCCTCAACTTTGCCTTCAAGGACAAATACAAGCAGATCTTCCTGGGCGGCGTTGACAAGCGGACCCAGTTCTGGCGCTACTTCGCCGGCAACTTGGCGTCCGGAGGGGCCGCCGGGGCCACCTCCCTCTGCTTCGTCTACCCGCTTGATTTTGCCCGAACGCGCCTGGCGGCCGACGTGGGCAAAGCCGGAATGGAGCGGGAGTTCAATGGCTTGGGCGACTGCCTGGTCAAGATCTTCCGGTCAGACGGCCTGCGGGGCCTCTACCAGGGCTTCAATGTCTCCGTCCAGGGCATCATCATCTACAGAGCGGCTTACTTCGGCATCTACGATACCGCGAAAGGTAAAAAACCTTCTGTTGGGCGTAGCATCCGCGTTTCCGTGTTCTGGGTTCCAAAGTCCCGTGCATGCATGACTCTTTGTCCCAATTCCATTTGCAGGAATGCTTCCCGACCCAAAGAACACCCACATTTTGATCAGCTGGATGATTGCGCAGACAGTGACGGCCGTCGCTGGTCTGACCTCTTACCCCTTTGATACGGTGCGGCGGCGCATGATGATGCAGTCTGGGCGCAAAGGTGGTATGTATCTCGTAGGCTTGGGTAACTACGGAAAAAATTGGTTCTAAACTCGTTTCGTTTTTAGGGGGGCCCTTGCGTTTCGTTTTTTTAAAGAATTCCGAAATTTTCTTTAAAAAAGTTTGAAATATATGAAATTTCGTAAATTACAAATCGATTTGTTAATGGCGGATGTGATTGCGCAATACGCTAAAAAACCCTCCAAATGGGACAGGGGGAACTTCTGAAGCTTCCCTCTCCCTCTGTTGTTGACTGTTGGTGTGATGAAACAATTTCGAAACAATTTTGAACCAGTTACGAAACAATACGAAATAAATTGGAAACATTGTTTCGATTTTTAATTACTCCTCACGGTAGTCCTGCATGGCTCAATATTGGATCGTAAGCTAATTTAAATACGAATTAATAATGAATTACGAAATTAACGAACGAAACCGCCCAAGCCTAGTATCTCGCACTCCAAAATGTGCTCCTAATGTCCCCATTAGCACATTCTTTCCCTTGTTTCCAACACCTATGGAGTCACATCCATATAAGTTCCATCCCTTGGTCCTGAATGACAATTCCATCATCCTTCTGGGGGAGTTATCATCCAAGGAACTTGACTATCCTTGGTGTGGAATGGGCGTGCCATGAGTGTGGAAGGCATTGCATGCTCAATAGGGAGCAAAATCAGATGAGAATGTGCTCATCTGGCTCTACGTAGTTCAATTCAGAAAGGGATTGCAGAGGTCATTTAGTCCAACCCTGTGCAAAGTCTAGAATGGGGATGCAATTGCAATATCACCAACACAATAACCTTTGAGCCCCTGTTCAAATACCTCCAGCAAAGGGAAACTATCACTTTCCATGGCAGTCTGTGCTACTGTTTAACTGTTGCGTCTCAGCCTGCCTTTTGGGTCAAGAGAGAGCAGCATTCCTGTTACGCATGCAACCATTTTTTCAGATCCTGAGTTGAATTCAAGTTCAGTTCTGTTGTCTCCAAAGCAGGGCACATCTTGTACTAAGAGCATTCTGGCTGCAGCTAAGCCTGCCATGGAGACCCCGCATGTGAGGATTACTATTGGCATAAAGAACTTGGAAAATAATCAGGGATGGTGGCAGTTTGAGTATTTGGAGGATTTCATATTTCCCAACCTTTTTTTGCTGTGCAATGTGTGCCAAAGTCTATGGAGAGGAAGCTCTTTTGCTGCAGGACAGGAGACTTGTGTGTGTGCTTCTGTGTCATGAAGGGACGGATGGCCTCAATCAGGGCTGGACCAAGGCCAACCTGGGAGGCATTGGCTGCTGGCCCACAGGGCTTCTCCAGGAAAGAAAGAAGGCTTAGCTAATAGGCACAAATCCCCGGGCCATTCGGCAGGGAAATGCCCAGTCCCTTGTATCAGAAAACCTGAGAAATACTGGGCAAAATCACCCCTGGGTTGGTGATCTTTCCAGTCCAATAGAGTGGGCATTTAGTTCTGTGGATGCTGAAGTCTCCACACACACAAACACATATATAATCTATATAAATAAAAATGTAATGTTCGTTTGTGGGATTAACATAACTCAAAAACAATACACCTTTCAGGCCAACGAGTGACCATCACTCATAAAAACACTGAAAAACACAACAGAAGAGACTTAAAAGGCCCAAAAAACACCAAAATACATTACAACACATACACAAAACCACATATACACACAAATATACACACACATATGCGCATATATACACACACAAAACACATACACAGACTGGGGCACAGCAACACGTGGCAGGGGATGGCTTGTACAAATATACACGCACACATATACGCATATATATATACACACAAAACACATATACACAGACTTGGTCACAGCAACACATGGCAGGGGATGGCTTGTACAAATATACACACACACATACGCATATATATATATACACACAAAACACATATACACAGACTTGGTCACAGCAACACATGGCAGGGGATGGCTTGTACAAATATACACACACACATACGCATATATATATATACACACAAAACACATATACACAGACTTGGTCACAGCAACACATGGCAGGGGATGGCTTGTACAAATATACACGCACACATATACGCATATATATATATACACACAAAACACATACACAGACTTGGTTACAGTAACACATGGCAGGGGATGGCTTGTACAAATATACACGCACACATATATGTATATATATACACACACAAAACACATATACAAAGACTGGGCCACAGCAACACGTGGCAGGGGTTAGTTAGTGTGTGTTTGTTTGTTTGTGGGATTCACATAACTGAAAAACCACTGGACGAATTGACATCAAATTTGGACACAACACATGTCTCAGGCCAACAACTGACCATCACTCATCAAAACACTGAAAAACACAACAGAAGAGATTTAAAATGCCAAAAAAAAATTACAATGCATGCGCAAAACCACATATATATACACAAACACACATATATACACAAATATATGCACTCAGAAAACACATATACACAGACTGGGCCACAGCAACGCATGGCAGGGGATGGCATATATAATATGTGTGTGTGTGTGTGTTTGTGGGATTAATATAACTCAAAAACCACTGGATGAATTGATACCGAATTTGGACACAAGACACCGATCAGGCCAATGAGTAACCATCACTCATCAAAACACTGAAAAACACAACAAAAGAGACTTAAAATGCCAAAAAAAATTACAATGCGTGTGCAAAACCACACATATATACACATATACACAAATATATACACACAGAAAACACATATACACAGACTGGGCAACAGCAATGCGTGGCAGAGGACAGCTAGTCTATATAAATAAATACATGTGTGTGTGTATATATATATATACATACACACATAATAAAATGATATCTCCAACATTTTCTGCAGAGCAGCTTGGTTGCAAACATTCTCTGTGGAAATGCCATAGAATATCTGGAAGGTTAACACATCCAGTCTCTTTACACAAAAAGAATAGAGTTTCCAGCTTGTACACACAGCCTTCACATCAGCATGTAACACAATAATAATAATAATAATAATAGTAATAGTAATAATACTTTTCTTTCTTACCCACCTTTCCCCACGGCTCAAGGCATGTCACAGCAAAGTCAAAAACACACAAATACTATAAACGTTCTGCAAAAACACATATTAAAATGTGGTTCCATAAATGACACATATCAAAGCATTTCTATTAAAAAAAACACACACACACAATTTGAAAGGGAGGAAGTGTAATATTTTCCATCACCCTTTCCTTAGTTTCACCTGTGTTCAGTTCTACCGTATTGACCCGAGCTTAATGCACTATCGAATATCAGGCGCACTTCATTTTCCAGAGCCCTGAAACCAAGAAGAGTATTTGCTGCCAAATGTAATGCGCAAAAAGCAGCAGAAAGTGCACTCTTTGTCATTTGGTTATTGCAGTTGATGCACATTTAGGACTCCTTCTTCAAAACACAAAAGTGTTAGAACACCAAAGCTTCCAGTTAAGGAAAAAGAAACCTTGGGATGCATGGATGCTGTAGAATGAATCCACATTAATTGCCTTGGTTCAATGCTACGGAGTCATGGGAGGTGGTGTTTGATGAGGCCTTGAGCTTTCTCTGCCAGATAATGTGGATACCTCTGCAAACTACAAATCCCAGGATGGCATAGCATTGAGCCAGGGCCATTAAATGAGCAATGAGGTCCTTCAAAGGGGAATTCCTGAAGCAGCTTCTCCTTTGGCTTTGGCTCAGCACTAAGATGACGGTATGATGCAAATCCAATTTTGGGGAGGTATTTTAGCCCCCAGTGGCACAGTGGGTTAAACCACTGAGTTGTTAAACTTGTTGACCAAAAGGTTCAAATCTGGGGAGCAGCGTGAGCTTTTGCTGTCAGCCCCAGCTTCTGCCAAACTAGAAGTTCAAAAACATGTAAATGTGAGTAGATCAGAAGGTACCGCTTCGGCAGGAAGGTAACAGCGCTCCATGCAGCCATGCTGGCCACATGATCTTGGAGGTGTCTATGGACAACGCTGGCTCTGGACTTTATGTCAGGGGAAAACCTTTACCTTATTTTAGCCCAAATGTGTTGTTTTGATAAGGAATGGAAGCATCTATGAATCTCTCTCCCAGTTCCTCCCTTTTGCTCTGCAACTCATGAGCACACTGCAATCAATCACTCCAGGCTCTGTTTATCAGTTCTGCATTGGAACAGCCTTTTCTCCTTTATTTATATTTTGTACAAAAACTCACAAGCAGTCCTGGTACGCAACACACAAGAACAGCAGACTTAACATAGTGAGGTGCAAATATGTTGTTTACTTGTTGCTTAAGACAACCCACAGGAAGGTTGCATCAAACTTCTGATCGGAAATTGTCCTCCTCTGTTCATCTTCACACTCTACTATCTTAACCCTTTAACTATTGATGTCTCTACTGTGCATGCTTAGAAAAAATGCTACTTTTTACTACTCAATTTAACAATATTTTTCACACAATAAAGGTGAGCATTAGACTCGAGTAACTACGGTATAGTGGAAACTCCACGGAGCAGAACCTGTTGCACTCTTGCTGTGGAACACCTGTTCACCCAGCACCACACAGAGTCCAGAAGTAGCTAACTAGAGTGTATTTACAAAAATCATACACGAAAGGCGAAATGGCAATTCCCCAAAAGCAGTGGAAAGGGTGCTATGAAATAGCAGTAGTCCAAAAGACAAAGATCAGTAGTCCAAGATGGCAAGGTCCAAATAATCCATGAAGGCAAGGTAAATGAAATCCATACAGTCAGGAATGTAGGCATGAAAACATAAACTTTACCAAAACTAAACTATTCCAGGAACATAGATAACTTGAGAGCTAAACATGATTTGAAGGCAACATTGTCTGCTCTGAAGAGGCCAGGAAATCATCCCTTAATTTAAGCTCAAACCTGACCAAGAAGCCATGAGATCATCCCTTTGGCACCTGGGTTTCAAGAACTGTTTCCCACGGAGTCTTTCTGGCCTCCTTATTAACCTTTTCTTTGCTCTCTCTGAGCAGAGATCTAATCTCATATCCTGGGATAACTCCCCATCCTCTCAAGAGAAAATGAATCCCAAATATCCTCTATCTCTTCAACAGCTGCCGGCCCTTCTCTCTGATCTATGGGTTGCATTCCTGTATGTATTTCAGCCACATCACACACAGACTCGGTGAAAAATCCATCATTCCTCTCATTCTCCAAGGCAGAATCCCCAGCATCCCCAGTCTCTTGCTGCTGAGCCCCGACAAGACCCTATCTTCTTCCCGTTCCTTAGTTTCCCTTGTGTTCACTGTTATGTTTTCTCTTCCAGCCGACATCATGTACTCGGGCACCATTGACTGCTGGAGGAAGATTGCCCGCGACGAGGGGGGCAAGGCCTTCTTCAAGGGCGCCTGGTCCAACGTCCTGCGCGGGATGGGGGGCGCCTTCGTCCTGGTCTTGTACGACGAGATCAAGAAGTACACATAAGCAGCGCCCGTCCCTGCTTCGTTTGCGGCGCCGCTCTCATGGACTGCGTCAAAACTATTTATCAGTTTCCGCTGAGGTTTCCGCTGGTTGGCAGAGGGACCACAGTTCCGCTTGCCCCGATCCGTCTTTCGAGTCATTCCCCTGGCGATGATGGGACTCAAACTTCATTTTTACTCAGTCACTCCCTGTTAAAATAAGTTTGAGAGAAATACCAATAAAGTTTTAAAAGCTCTCGTCTCTGCCTCGGATCCCTTCTGTGATAGGAAACTCGCTCCGGCTTTGCTAAGTGGCTCATCTTGAAGCAGGCATGGGCAAACTTCGGCCATGCCAAACTACAACTCCCAGCGTCCCATCGAAGCTTGGGCCATGTTAAACTATAACTCCCAGCACCCCATAGTATCGAGCCATGTCAAACTGTCACTCCCAGCACGCTATATCAAACTACAACTTCCGCAATACCATGTCAAACTATAACTCCCAGCATCTCATAGCTTTGAACCATGTCAAACCACAAGTCTCAACATCCCGTAGAACCAAGCCTTGACAGTCAAACTACAACTCCCATAATCCCATGGAACTGAGCTATGTCAAACTACAACTCCCAGCACCCTATATCACTGAGCCCTGACAGTCAAACTACAACTTCCACAAATCCACGTCAAACTGTAACTCCCAGCATCTCATAGTTTTGAACCATGTCAAACCACAAGTCTCAGCATTCCGCAGAACCAAGCCTTGACAGTCAAACTACAACTTCCATGATTCTATGTCAAACTACAACTCCCATAATCCCATGGAACTGAGCTATGTCAGACTAACTCCCAGCATCTCATAGCCTTGAAGCCATGTCAAACTACAACTCCAACACCCTATACCACCGAGCACTGACAGTCAAACTACAACTTCCACAATTCCATGTCAAACTATAACTCCCATAATCCCATGGTCTTGAACCATGTCAAACTACAAGTCTTGGCATCCCATAGAGCCATGTCAAACTACAACTTCCAGCACCCTATAGCACTGATCCTTCTGAGACAGGGAGAAGATGGTAGACTGTTTGGAATTGTGGGAGTTGAAGTCCAAAACCCCCCTGGAGGGCCGAAGTTTTCCCATGCCTGCTCTATAAGGAGGTTGAACCTGGAGGCCTATGTCCTTCTACGTTCCTCTCCTTGCTGGGCGATTGTGATATGCCCATAACTCCGCTGCGTTGCATAACATGCTCCGATCTCTCTCCGTTCGCTGCTTCCAATGCACATTCCTCCTCCCATCACGTGTCGCCACAACGGCAAAGAGAGGAAGCCACTGGGATTGGAATTTCCAGTCCTGCAAGTTCGCCGCCTTCCTTCTGGAACTTGGACCGAAGCCCAGCAGAAGACGGAGAAGAGAGAAGCATTCAGGATCGAATCCAGACTATGTTGGGTATGTTCAGTGCCAAGTTCATGCAGGCTTGACATGCCTGGCAATTTCACACTCTCAGCTTGGAAACTACATTATACATTTCCCAGCTTTGCACACATCATCGCAACCAACCTGTGAAGTCGGTCATATTTCCAACTTGCAGTGATATTTTAACTAGGGATGTTGGCACGTTTCTCCTCTCGTAGCCATCATGTTGCAATGCATCCTTGCACCATCGCAGCCATGACTCAGTGCCAGCTTTGCAATTTTTCGTGAACGAACGGCACAGACGTTGCAACACAAGGATCCCATTGGCTTCAATGATGCCCTTATCAGGAAGTAAGATTATATATATATATATATACATTTTAATACAAGTGAAAACAAGTTTGTAGTCATCCGTATATTTCAGTTTAGAGCTAGCCTTCCTTCCAAAACTGGCTCAGGATGAAATACCCACGCTCAGTAAAATTAGGATATTGTATTTGGGATATTAATGATGATATCAACCTGCAATTCAATCACAATGCAAATCTGAATTAAAAGCACATTGCAAGGGACGGGCATTTGACTTCAAAAAGCAATAATAATAAGTAATAATAATAAACAGCCAGCAGAGTGTCTGCTATAAACTCATCTTGTTGTGTTTCTAATAATAATAATAATAATAATAATAATAATAAACAGCCAGCAGATGTCTGCTGTGGACTCATCTTGTTGTGTTTCTAATAATAATAATAATATAATAATAATAATAATAATAATAATTCTTTATTAAAGTGATCTTGTCTGCTGTGGACTCATCTTGTTGTGTTCTAATAATAATAATAATAATAATAATAATAATAATAATAATGGAGTGTCTGCTGTGGGCTCATCTTGTTGTGTTTCTAATAATAATAATAATAATTAATAACAGCCAGCAGAGTGACCTTGTCTGCTATGGACTCATCTTATTGTGTTTCTGTAATAATAATAATAATAATAATAATAATAATAATAATAATAATAATAATAAAACAGCCAGTAGAGTGTCTGCTGTGGGCTCATCTTGTTGTGTTTCAAATTATTATTATTATTATTATTATTATTATTATTATTATTATTATTATTTTGGGTTGCCGTGAGTTTTCTGGGCTGCTTGAGCATGTTCCAGAAGCATAATCTCCTGATGTTTCGCCCACATCTATGTCAGGCATCCTCAAAGGTTGTGAGGTCTGGTGGAAATTAAGTAAGTGAGATTTATATCCCTGTGGAATGATGTCCAGGGTGGGAAAAAGAAAGAACTCTTGCCTGTTGGAGGCAAGTATGAATGTTGCCATTGGCCACCTTGATGAGAATTGCAGCTTCAAAGCCTGGCTGCTTCCTGCCTGGGGGAATCCTTTGTTGAGAGATGTTAGCTGGCCCTGATTGATTCTTGTCTGGAATTCTGCTGCATTTTAAGTGTTGCTCCAGGTTGGTTCATCAGGTCCTCTGCTATGGCTGCTTTGCAATGGTGCCCTTATCAGGAAGTAAGATTATATATACATTTCAATACAAGTGAAGACGAGGATGCCTGCCATAGATGTGGGCAAAGCATCAGGAGAGAATGCTTCTGGAACATGGCCAGACTCAAAAAGCAGGGGAAATCCAGACAAGAATAAATCAGGGCCAGCTAATCACCTTTCAACAAAGGATTCCTCCAGGCAGTAAGAAGCCACACCTTGAAACTGCTAGGCTATCCATTTCTAAACAAGGTGGCCAATTGCACCATTTCTACCTACCTCCAACAGATAAGAGTTCTTTCTCCCACCGTGGACATCATTCCACAGGGATATAAACCCAATTTTCCTAGTTTCCAACAGAACTCACAACCTCAGAGGATGCCTGCCATAGATGTGGGCGAAATGTCAGGAGAGAATGCTGCTGGAATATGGCCAGACGGCCCGGAAAACAACGCAACCTGTGTTACGTAGTGGGATAACCTAATCGAGTTGTTGCAAGGTGTCGGAAAGTCAACGGACAGAACGTTCTCACAGATAACATCAGCAATCACGGGGAGGCTGGAGAGGGCAGATTCCAAAAGAGGTGAAGGGAAAGCTTGACTCAGCAAGCCACCCAACAGGTATCTCTACCAAGTGCTGCTACTCCTCTGTGTAGCTACTATGCTCCCTTCCACACCCTACGTATCACCTCAAAGCACCTGGCCAGCAAGTGCCGACTGCGCGGTTTGGTTTAGACCAAACCGAACCAGATGTAGAAGCGCTCACCTGGAGCAGCAATGCTGCCGACCGGCGGAACCAGTTATTCCATAGGTTTTGGGCCAAGAGCCAAATTTGCCGTGTCCTTCCCAAAGGCACGGATCTCAGGGAGAGATTTAGAAAGTCACTTTGCGGATTCCTATACTACAGCGTTTCCCAGCCTGGGGGTCAGGACCCCTGGGAGTGGTCATGAGGCGGTGTCAGAGGGGTCTCCAAAGACCATCGGAAAACACTATTTCTGTTGTTCATGGGGGTCTCTGTGTGGGAAGTTTGGCCCAATTCTACCCTTCATGGGGTTCAGAATGAACTATAAATCCCGGTAACTCCAACTCTCAAATGTCAAGGTCTTTCCCCCCCACACTCCATCTGTGTTCACATTTGGTCATATTGAGTATTCGTGCCAAGTTTGGTCCAGATCCATCAGTGTTTGTGTCCACAGTGCTCTCTGGATGGAGGTGAACTACAACTCCCAAACTCAAGATCAATGCCCACAAAACCCTTTCAGTACTTTTTATCGGTCATGGGAGTTCTGTGTGCCAAGTTTGGTTCAACTATATCATTGGTGGAGTTCAGAATGCTCTTTGATGGTAGGTGAACTATAAATCCCAGCAACCGCAACTCCTAAATGCCAAGGTCTACTTTCCCCAAACTCCACCAGAGTTCACATTTGGGCAGACTGAGTATTTGTGCCAAGTTTGGTCCAGATCCATCATTGTTTGAGTCTAAAGTGGATGTAGGTGAACTACAACTCCCAAACTCAAGGTCAATGCCCACCAAACACTTCCAGCATTTTCTGTTGGTCCTGGGAGTTCTGTGTGCCAAGTTTGGTTCAATGCCATCGTTGATAGAGTTCAGAATGCTCTTTGATTGTAGGTGAACTATAAATCCCAGCAACTACAATTCCCAAATGTCA